ATACTTATAAACAGATGGAGTCCACTTATAAACAACCATTTGGCTAAACTTTAAAGTGCTAATCAAACTAAATATTAAACATAATTTTAATTACACTAACATACTATCTCTTCCCCTCCTCCCTTACCAAACCCCCTCCCCCCCAAAAAAATAAAAATAAGTAAATACACTCCAAAAACACCCAAAATAGATTAAACTTCTAATCAGAAACATTTACTACATTGAAGTTTCATTGCACCTGTCGCACACCTTATTTGTTTGCCCACATGGTGCTGCAGTGAGTTGGTGAATGGTGCCAACATACATTCATAGGAAAATAGGGATCTACACCTTGGTAAAGCAAAATCTTGCCCATTATTCACATAAAGAAACAGGCAATACAAGCCATTGTTTCAAGACCCCACATGATACCAGGCACCCTTGTTGGACAGAGTGCTCAGTCTACTAGGGTAATTCTCTGAAGATTGCAGTTTGTCCGCAGAAGATACTGATAAATCATCCGATGGATAATTGGGAAGTTCTTCAAGTCTGCTAAAATATGTTTTGCTACACAGACTTCACCAGTGTATTCAGTCTTTTCTTCAGGTAGACAGTCATAGCACAGACCGATTTACGATAGTCATACATGGCCCCACTAGGCTGGCTGATAGGAATAAGCTGATTGCCCCATCCATGCTTAACAGGAGGGAATATCCCCTGCTGACTATTGCATTCAGACAAGTGACACCCAATCCATCTGATTGGATGCAGTCATTATATAGTCAACAATTTTCCAATGGCTTGAATTTCAGCAGATTTAGCAGGAATTTGACATAATATAAGCTGTGTAAGACCAGCAGCAAAACCAGGAGGCTGCAGAAAGCATTGTTGGGATAGGATTTGTCTTATTGCTGCTGGGACAAGTACAGGGTATAATTATCCAATTTACTTTCCGTGAACTGACAGTAATACTTTACATTTCTATTCAGTTCTTAGAATTTAGACTCTTTCTTTTAGCTTAGCTGCACTGAAAAAATCAGGTGATTAGGGCTGCAACAACTAATTGACTAAGTCGATTATAATTGATGATTGAAAACGTTGTCAACGTTTTCAATCATCGATTAATCGGCTTTCCATTAGTTGGCCCTCTTCACGGCTCCAAACACGCCGCACCTCCTCCCTGCCTCACGCTCGCCGCTGCCAGACCCGCACGCATCCACGCTCCACACACCGTACCTCCTCCCCGCCTCACGCTCACCGCCCGCCCACATCCACGATCGTCACAGGGACGCGGGAGAAGAAGTAAGGCGGAGCAGGCTGGGGGGATGACAGCTGCTTACACTTTCCATTTCACTATATTGCACACCAAACTTTTTTTTTTTACTTTTTTTTTACTTCCACTTAATAATCGGCTAACTAATCGATTTTGAAAATAATCGTTAGCTGCAGCTCTACAGGTGATTGCAATTTGGTTTGCTATGCAAAACGCACAAACCCCCTAAAGTGAAATTCCACTGACCGCCTAATTGGGATAACACCTATTTTTAGTTTAAAGTTCACAGAAAAATCCAATTCTCCGGCTGCATCGCCGTCACAGAGATTCCATTGGTGCAGGCAGGACAAGTGCGTGTTCACCTTCAATCAATTCACTTTAAAAGACAGCCGCACTGGACTGCATACACAATGTTGTTCATCTTGAACAACGTTGTGTATGCAGTCCAGTGCACTGAAGAGTGCTCAGAATTGTATGTCGGTGAAATAAAACAGTAGCTACACCAGTGTATGGCACAGCATAGAAGAGCCAAATCCTCTGGTCAGGATTTGTCAGTATACCTACATCTTAAGGAAAAATGTCACTCCTTTGAAGACAGTCAAGTACGTATCCTAAACAGGGAGGAGAACTGGTTCAAAAGAGGTTTGAAAGAGGTCATTTATCTAAAAATGGAGAAGCCAAGCTTGAATAGAGGTGGGGGGTGAGACATCTATTGTCTGCCACAATATAATGCTGTTTTAACACCTCAGGTTATTAACACATAGCTCCAATTATGCAAATGCAATCCACACTTGGCTGTGACTAACAGATTATGTGGATTGGAGCAACATTCACCATATTTATTCCCAGATCATTTTTTGTACAAGTCATTCTGAATTGAGAAAGCTGTTTGGATGACCAGTGAAACGTCTTTAAGAAAAATACAGCAAGCCCAGTTTCCTTAACTTATTTTTTACAGCTATAACATGACCTGGATGAATGAGAGCCTTCACAGACAACTAGAGAACGAGAAAACCAAAATATTCAAAGAAGAAACAAAAGGCATTTCAATCAGTTCAATAATAAAAATAAAAAAATGAAGTTTTACTATCACTTTAAATATTTGGAACCATTGTTAATTAATGAGAGGAAGCTCGTGTGTCCCTAGTCTTCTTATGGGGACCGACAGAGTTTCCTGTCACATTAAAGTTGTACAGAGAAGCTATGCAGACACAACTAAAAAGTAAGAAGTATCTTTTAAAACATATTTTAGGTATGCTGTGTTTATAAGAGAACATAATAAAACTGCATAAACTTACATAAACTGAAAAAGACCAATATACAAATTAGAAGGTACAGAAATAAAGGAAGAACCTAACTACAGTGACTTCGCAGTGAGAAAAATCTTGGTCTCTGATGGATGAACAAAAATAATTTTGATGACAATTTTCTCCCTATGCATAGCTGTACATATAGCTAGAAACAAAAGGCTTTTTGTTGTTGAAGACACATTCTAATTAAGGTCAAGTTGATGACATTGCTTCTGGTAGCTTTCAGTAACATTTCCAGTTTGTTGCTTCTGGTTTCAGTATACATAGTGTTATGGCTGGGGACACCTCTGTACTTTACAAATGACTGGCTCTGAACAAAGGTTTGGGAGTTGCATTCATGTTGCTCTGAGAAAAAGTACAACACAAATTAATTTTCATATGGTTAGCATAATTCTTTGATGTATAACAAGGAACCACAAGAAGAACTTTAAGTGTGTAATCTTACCCTGAGGCATTCTAGGCAATTAACAATTTAATGTGCATAAAGGAACACACTTTATATGAAATGGGGCTAGGGCTCATTAAAAGAATAATCTGAACAACCATTTTTTGTACCGTTTTAACACGCATAGTTCCTGTTATCCACATTAAGACTATTTAAATTACTAAATAAAATTCAGTAATTCAATAGTCTTAATGTGGGTAACAGGAACTATGGGCTGCACTAGGCATCAAGATTTTTTTCAAAACCCAGGGTCTCTGTTGTGCCTGGCAGTGGTTCTTCCTACTGAGCCACCGCAAACTCTACATAGCTCCTTGCCTGATTCCCTGCTCAGTGATACCCAGTTTATTTTTTTGCTGAACTCTGAACTCCTTGCTCCTCCCCTTAACTCCCTATTAAAACCATGCAACCACACTTCATCCTTACACGCAGTTGTCCCTCGGAGTTATGAAGGACAGAAGCACCATACTGTATAAAAAAAAAAAAGCATTGCAGGCTGTTAAGTGAACTAGCTTTAAGCAGACTTTCACCTTGCCTCACAAGCTTTACAGCCCTTTTTCCGGGGGGCAAATGGTGGTGGTTGCATATTTCAGGGCCTTCTTTTAGTTAAACTGGCAAGGTCCCAGTCTATAATAATATTAATAAAATGTCAGTGCAAGTGTTATATTCTACTGCTCTGATATTAAATTAAAGCTTATATTATACTGCTCTGGTATCAAATAAAAACAATTAAGGAAGAAGATCACTTCTACAACCAAACCAACCTGCAGGTGATGCCCCCCCTCTCAGCTCGATCTCCTTCCCCAATATGTATCCCTAATAGACCTCTGATGTCTCTATAAAGAGGATCTGTCACGAGCAATAGGCTATCACATAGGGAGCTATCATCCCCCTTGTGTGAAAACAAAAAAGTGTAACAAAAAAAAGTAAAGTGTAATAAAAGAATTGAAGAAAACAAATTATAATATTTTGTAATGTTCCTCCACTCCCACGCATATATATACGTAAACACAAGTTTCAGATGCGCGTATGTATGTAAGCTCTGATTGTACCACACATGTTGAGTATTGTCATGCAGGCCAGGATGAGAACAATAACATTATTCAGTTAACTCTAAACTGATGACCTGTACAGGTTTTTAAAATAAGGAATTTTGAAGTTTTCTCACTGTTTCATGGGTGCACACAATTTTGAAAAGTTGCAACTGATGCATTTTTATTATCCAGGGTTTCTGCTTTCACAAAATATAACATTTTGGGGGGTTTATGCAATTTTCAGACCAAAAATGTGCATTTAAACGTGTACAAAAATATGAAAAAAATGGCAGTGAAGGGATTAAATGCACATGACTGCCAGTATAAATGCAGTATAGTGCCACCATCATACACAATCCTTTATAATAGGGATGCACCGATACTTTTCGAGTACCAGTGCAGATACTTGGCATTTTCATGATAACTACCAGGGTTGCAGCGGTTGCAGCTGGGACCTGGCTCTGGTGCTCCACCACTGTCCTGAAATCATTAGTCTGTATTGTTTTAGAAAAACTGTCACATGACAATAAACAAAAATGTGTCAGTACTTGTAAGTACTTGGGCAAGTATCAGTACTTGCAAAACTGGTATCGGTGCATCCCTTTATTTATATTTATAAAAACAAAATCATATATTAAAAAACAGATATACAAATCCCAGGAGCTCCGTGTGCTCCTTACAAATGACAGCTGCCGCCTAACTTTTGAATTTTTCTCTAGTCTTAGAGCTCGAAAAGTATTGGTACTTGTACTTGTACCGAGTACTGTACTTGGTATCAGTGCATCCCTACTTTATAAATCTGCAAACTGAACAAAGTATATGACATCAGAATAAAACCTTAATTGGTAAACAAAAGAATATAAAGTTCCATGGTAAAAAGGCCTTCAAATATAAACTGTGCAGATATACTATAAATTCCATTAGCAACCTATATCTATGCATACATCTGATGTTATCCTGTACTGAAAGTTATGATGCTTGCGAAATACGATTCTTCTTTTTCATTACTTCATCACAGTCCTGTAAAGGATGCACATGTGTCTGAAAAACAAAGGAAAAACAAGCTGAGTAAATTAACTTTGTCTCATATATAGATATATCTGCCACTGTAATCTTCTAACATTACTTTAACAGACGAGTGCAAGGCTGTAGGTATAATATACTACAAAAATATGATCAGTGATAAGAAATGCTCTGCATTTACAATGTATATCCTATAGAACTTTAGACTTTCCCCTCCATCCCACAGAATGACTTCCTGTAGCAATCATGATAAAGGGAGGGGGAGGGAAAACTGTCATTAACAGATGTCTCCTCCAGGTAATGATAGATACCCCGATACTTCCTACAGAAGGTGACCCCCTTATCCTCACCCCCTGTAACCACACCATCCTTCCTACACAGGGTGACCCCACCATCCCCTCATCCTTCCTATAGTAGGTGACCCCACTGTCCTCATCCTCACCCTTCATACAGAGTGTGACCCCACCATTCTCACCCTCTATCCTACCTACCGTCCTCACCTCCCCCCTATCCTTTCTACAGGGGGTGAAACCACCATCCTCACCCTAATCCTTCCTACAGAAAATGAACCCCCACACACACGTCCTCCCTATAATGGGTGACCCCACTATCCTCACCTCCTATCTCAAGGGATGACCCCACTAACCTCACCCCATTGTCCTCATCCTTCGTATAGACGGTGACCCCCCCTGCCTTTTATAGGTCAGTGGAGGATCATCATAAATTTTCTCTAAGCAAAATTGAATGTGCCACACTGAGACATTAGAAGCACCCTAAAACTCTACTGACTAGACATGGCAAATAATATAAAACAATATAAACAAAGTGACTCTTATAAAACTGAGAATCTGAGAAACCTAATATAAATAAGAAGTAAATCTCATATTAATAAAGTACCAATACAAGTGCTACAATTCAAGTGATGCATATACTATTTACAATATGTTTGCAATCCAATATACAACCAACTAAATGTGAAAAAGAGATACAAAGTCTCTCGAATGTCGTTATCCTCTGCATATGTAATTGTGCAAAACAGATTGTGAGGATAGTGCCTGCCGCTTTCTTAGGAACTAGAGTAGAGGTGCAAGGTTTTTGATTTTGTTATAAATTTTCTCTAGTCGCACATCTGTCTTTAGTGACAATTAACTGCGGATAAGAGTCATAGAGGCGATCTGGTTGGTTGCCGTGGTGCACTCTACCTGCCAGAGAGGAGCGAGCGGCAGACTAATATGAGTGCTGCATCTGCTGCATTTGGATGACAGCGCTGAGTACAGCAGATACAGCAGCAAAGTGAGTGCTAGGGATACTGTCCGTAAGACTCTCCAAACCCCTGGTAAGATCCCGCACAGCCCACCCGAGACCCCGGAGACATCAGGCTGCCACCTCAGAGTAACACAGAGTATGTATCTTCATATTATTCTGCATTTCTGTATAATGTATTGCTGGGATTTGTAGTCCTGTATGGCTTATGGTATTATTCTGCATTACTGTATGTATTGCTGGGATTTGTAGTCCTATATAGCTGATGGTATTAATTAGAGGTTCACCGAAATAAAATGTTCAAAACCAAAAAAAAAACCGAAAACATTTTTTCTAACCTTTTCAAATTTTTTGAAATTAGAGGTGCACCGAAATGAAAATGTCAAAACCGAAACGAAACCGAAATTAAAAAAAATGTCAGACCGAAACGAAAAATGTTTTTTTTTCTAACTTTTTCACATTTTTCAAAATATTTAATTTGTATTTATTTTTATAAACTTTTACATTTTTTATATTGTATTTTTATTTATTTAAATATCAGGGGTCTAAACAGATCTCTGATATTTCCCTTTTAAAATAAAAAATAGATAGAGAACACAGTCCTCAAACTCTTTTTCTGCAGCCCATGAGCAGTTAACTGTATTCGCTGGAATAGTGTACTAAAGTGCACCCCTCTGATGTATTTTGGCAGGGAGGCAATTACAGAAATCCTCTCATGTCCCTTAAAAAAGGCTGCTGCCACCGGCGCCCATGGACCGGCTCTAAGCATGCCCAGCGGAAAGGAGTCACATCTTGCAGCCTCTGTGCTGCACCTGTCTCCAGGCTCTCTCTCCTCACATAGACATTTGTGAGCTGTCCATTGAGGGCCACCCCATGAGGAGTCTCCCATACTTCCCTACATCCCTACTTTGTGCAGACTGTCTGTGAGGCACCAAGACCAGGCAGTGCCTGAGGCTATATGGACTGTGTGTGGTTCTCCCAGCCCCCGCAGCTGGCGGCTCTCTTCTCATTGGACTGAGCTGCCCTGCTGTCTCCTCCTGCTGTCAGGAGGCCTGAGATCTCCAGGGAAAGAGAACGGGTATGTACTGACTGAGGCGTGCCAACAGCTCAGCCCTGTATATATATGTTTATGTATGTGTGTGTGTGTGTATGTATATATGGAATAATATATATATATATATATATACATATATGTGTGTATATATATATATATATACATACATACATACATACATACATCATACATGTTCTATGCTGGCCAGGGTGCTATCCCCTCCCCTGTAACCCCTCAGTGCTTTCAGGTCATCCTCATCCCCCCTAGTGTTCTCCCTGCCCCATGCTGCCAATTCCCATCCTGATGTGCTTCTGTGCTCTCAGTACACTTGTTAGTACACTCAGCATTCGTGGTATGCCTGGTAGGGTTTGGGAGATATGCAGCGCCGGCTCTAGCGTAGGGTAACACAGAGTGCAGAGGTCACTGACCTCTATGTTACACTACTAACCTCTGCACTCTGCTTTACACCGCTGACTTCTGCACTCTGCTTTACACCGTTGACCTCTGCACTCTGCATTACACCGCTGGCCTCTGCACTCTGCTTTACATCGCTGACCTCTGAGCTGACGTCTGCACTCTGCTTTACACCGCTGACGTCTGCACTCTGCTTTACACCGCTGACGTCTGCACTCTGCTTTACACCGCTGACGTCTGCACTCTGCTTTACACCGTTGACCTCTGCACTCTGCATTACACCGCTGGCCTCTGCACTCTGCTTTACATCGCTGACCTCTGAGCTGACGTCTGCACTCTGCTTTACACCGCTGACGTCTGCACTCTGCTTTACACCGCTGACATCTGCACTCTGCTTTACACCGCTGACGTCTGCTTTATACTGCTGACTTCTGCACTCTGCGTTACACTTGAGGGTAGCTTGCGGAGGGGGTTGGGGATGGTTTGGGGGGCCCCATACAAAATTTTGCTATGGGGCCCTGTGATTTCTAGTTACGCCCATGGGAGCAAGGACATTCTCCCAGCGCTAAGCACCCAGTTAATTGCTTCCCTGAGCCGTGGAGGAGCAGTGCTTTTTATGTGTGTTTTCCTTGCACCAGTAAAATTATTATATCAATAACACCTTGGAAAATGATTGTACAGTATTTTCACATAACCTTGCTATCACATATATAAAAGATATACTCATATTTTCACATTTTCTGCCTGTATAAATGAAGACATCAGTTGGACTTCAGTTATACATGCACACACAGGCAGACACAGAACACACACACATGGAGCCATAAAGACACCATGAACACAGACTTATACGCAGACAAAAACAAACATTCTCAGCACACTCACCAGCCTGCAAAAAGAACCACTGTCTAACTACTAAGGTTAAAAACAGAGGTTTTGGTTGCGCAACTTTTGCAAAACATGTGGAAACCGCACTGCCTCATCAAGGCCCCTCTGTATAGTGTGGTCCTAACTCTAATCTATTAGAGGATCCATCTTGGAGCATATTTATAGCAAAGGATGAACTGGGTGCAGGTTTGCCAGGAGGTAGCCCAACCTCCTTAAAGGCATAGGGACACACAAGGAGCCCCGCACATCACAATGGCAGCTGGAGCCCCCAGTGTGTCCCCACACCAAATCCAACAAGTGAAACAAATGGCAAACACACTCATCAATTCATAACTAGCTTTAAAGCAAGGTGCACATAGAAGGGCTTTACACAGCAACTACAATCTCTGTTTTTAACCTTAGTAGTTAAGACAGTGTACTTTTTTTGCAGGCTAGTTGGTGAGTGGGCTGGGAATGTTTGTTTCTGTACTGTGTAAAGCCCTTCCATGTGCACCTTGCTTTAAAGCTAGTTATCAATTAAGGAGTGCGTTTGCCATTCGTTTCACTTATACGCAGACAAACACACACATGCAGACATATGCAGACACACACAGACAAGACACATACAATACTGTAGCAATTTGGACAGCAAATATAGAAAAGATGCTGCAAGTTACATTTAGGACTGTCAACTGACTTTGGGCGTGTGTTGATGGTATCAGTTTGACAAAAGCTGGAGATGCTTCTAAGATCATTCAGAATTCATTTATTGCATTTGACTGTAAGTTAACCTCCTTCTGACCTGCATGTGGCCATCTTCAAGCTGGTTTTGCATTCCTGTGACCTTGTATGTAATGTGAGCGTTGGGAGTCTGGTGACCAAGCCTTCCCAGCCCCTAGACATGAGCTATGTTGGCTGCTATGCCTATAAATATGCCCATTTTTTATATTCTCCCATCACACTTTCCATTTTAACTTCACAGTCATGTATGAATTGTTATTCATCTTTTTGGTGGGGTGGCAATGACAGTTCATACCCTTTTCTCTAGATGAGTGAAATGGTGGTATAGCTGATTACGTCACCCATGACACACAGTTAGGGGCAGGGCTTAGTGCGGTTGAAAGGGCATAGCACAAGTGTGACTCCTGCACATTTTTTATATGTCCGCTGCTGAATTAAAGAAGCTATACTGTATAGTGGTTCTGTTGCGAGACACATTTATTCATGTTTATGCAAGAGGAGCAGCTGCATTGGGGTAAAGTCCATAGAAATCTTTAGGCAATCAATGTCTAAATCCTGCAAATAACATTCATGCTGCCATGCTGCAGCACCCTGTTTCCCACCCGCAGCAAATGAACTGAACCTTTTGGTTTAACAGGTACCTTTTAAAAGTAGTGTTTTCAAGGGTACACAAAA